GAATACAAACAATGAAACAAGTTGTTTATTTGAAAATGGCAAAATATATTCATAGAGGATAGGTTATTCCATCATGCAAATAATTGCTTTCTTAGAATAATCATTACGTTTTTTGACCGAAAATATGGAAACAATGACTTATACGTCTAACAACAAGATTAAACGAGCAGTGCTATGTGCTATATCAATTATGTTTGTGCCGTACGGTTGATCACGCGAATACTGAAGATAGATATTATCTGTTCAAACAAATAATGTATTTAAGACAAAGATATACATTGTTTCAAATTCAAACAATCGTACTTATTCCAAATAACAAATTTATTTGGATATAATAAAATTTATTACATCCAAAGAAATCTTTTTCTCTGTGCATGTTTCATGTTTAAGGGGATACTGTCCTGTTTTACCATTAATTTTTAAAGACTCTTTTCTCTTAATTGTGTTTATGGATTGAAAAGTCCTTCTCCACAATTAAAGTATCGACAACAACACAGGCTGCCAGCTATAATTTAATACGAAAAATGAAAGAAAATTAAAAATTGTAGTTTTGTCACCGGCTTCTGCAATCAACTCGTCACAATATGTGCTGCATATAAGAGTTTCAGAATTTACCCGTTTAAAATAAATAGCCAGCAGCCTACAGAAAACGAAGAACAATCCTATGATTTTAAAAACAAGGTAGGGGTTTAAGAGGTTTTAGTTTAAGAGAAAAGAGTCGCTGAAAATTTCGTTTGTATATTACGAGTGAAATTGACGTGAAGCCATGCAGTATTTTAATTGATTTCTTTCTAAGAGATGGCGTTGCAATTTGTTAGATAAGGACAGATGAATGCGTTTGAGCGAGACACAACGATATATAATAAGTATAAGAAATTAATGAAAGATGTCATTATTATCGAATTTGGAATTTAAAAAAGTCTGTACTATCGACCTTGATTAAGTTCGACTGTCACTCCAGCATCCCCTTAAAGACATGTTGCATTTTTATAATAACAAAATTTTTCTCTAAAAAAGCTTTATTAAGCTATTAATAACGAAACAAAATATAAAGCTTGGAATTCTTTTAAAATAAGATTTTAAAATAAAATATGCTTTAAAATTTTAGAAATACTATTGTACCTCTCTCTCTCTCTATCTATTAATTTTATCTGAGAAATTTTAAATAGAGGATTTTAAAGGAAGATCGGTAAAAAGACATGGAAAATTATTTAAAAAATGTTTTTTCTAGGGCTTGATTCTTCTTTGGAAAAAAAAACATTTTTCTATTTCTTTTTGCTTTAACTTCTCTTTAAAAATGGCTCCTCTTTCGACGATTTAAATTTCTCGGGAAAATAACAATACTGCTTAAAATTCTGACAAAATTGGCAAATCATGAATTTACATTTTTTACTCTCACAACATTACGTTGCTTTTCTTAGATTTGTTGTTTTTATTTTTTAAAATTGATTTTAGAATTAAGAATAAAAATATGGAAAATCTGCATTGTCGTAAATCTCAACTTTTGCCAACAATCTGTGCTGTTTTTTATCTCATATAATATATCTATTCGTTATATTATAACATATTATTGTATATAATATATGTGTAATATACTATATATTATTATACGATATGTTGTTATGTTTAATACATTGGAAAGAGAAAAAGAGAGAGGGAGAAATTCTACATTTTTCAATAGTTATGAATTTGTTTTGAAATCCACAATTTTTTAATTGTATTTTAAAATAAATTTATGATTAAGAAACGCGTAAAATTCAATCAATAGAATCAAATATTATTTAAATCTATAAAATCGATTCTTTTCTAAAGTAATTTAAACATGAGTTTGCCAGGTACACTGTGATTACCACTATAATGCTAATACGCATTATTGTCATATTAGCGATATGTACTGCGCGTATGCGCGGTTTTCCGCAATCCTCGATAGTCGCCCGAAAAGGCGTGGTGGTGTGCAGCAGTGAATTTTGGGTGATAATATAACGGTGCGGCAGAACGTGCCTACGCGTTATATAGGAATTGGTGCATGGCAAACGGGGCAAAATAATCGGACGTCGAGAGTTATGGGGCGCGAACCGGCGACCGGTTAATCAGCCACCGATAATTATCGACACGGGCAGTACATCACTACCCTTCCTCTCCCAACGCGTCCTCCCTCGGTCCTCCACCGCGATCCGCCGTCCCCCGTTTGTTCCCGAAAGCCCGCGTTGCAACCCCTTGCAACCGACCCTTTGCCGAGACCCCGCGCTTCCACTCCCTACCTGCTGGCGGCTCGGCATCCCACCACCTGGCGTGACAAACGCACCGCCGATACCATCATTTATTTCGCAAATGTGCTGCAAAACTGCCGCTATTCATTTTCGGTCCAGTCGATTCAGTTTTCCGCTCCGAGGGTCCGCCTTGATGGCCGTGCGCGCGGCTCTGTGCACTCGTGCGATGGTTTTATCGTTTCGCGACGGCACGATCGCACAGACCAACGCCGATAATGCGATTTCTCGGCGGTGATTTTTAACCATTGAGTGCAATATATATTCTACGATCAATTTAAAAATCTCTTATTATTATACGTCGTAATTATTTTTATAATAATATATTTGACAAGGATTTGTTGCTGGAATATATAAGTTTGACAAAATTCACATTTTTATAACACTTTATATATCTAATAATAATACGTGAACAAAATTATTTCTATATTTAGATAGAGACTTGTGTTAGAACTTTCAAATAATATAATTATTCTTAATATATTTTCTAATTGTTAACACATTGTAATATATGAAGAGGTAGGACAGACCTAATAATCCAAGATGTCGTCATATAACGATGATTTAAAGTCATTTTTCATTTGATATTAATCAAATAATGACTAAATAATGATGTAAAACAAATGTAACGTTTATGACTATACATTATTGTTATAAATATATCGTCATTTCATCGTCATTTTTATATTATATTTAATGAATAAATAATAGACGACACTATTAATTACTGTTGTTCTTAATTAGGCAATAATTGCAGGTAAATAAATATATATTTTTATATTATATTCTTTCCTCATAGCACAATTTATTCGCACAATACTTGTCTAATGTATCCCTAATGCATATCAATGTTTAATTGATGTATCACCAACAAATTGTATTATTAAGGTTGCAATTATTACCTAATTTAAAAAAATAATAATTAATAATTAATGTTATTCTATGATTTATTCATTACAGCTATTTTTTCTATAAAAGTTATATCTTATCTTGTATTACGTATGGTGTAAGATTATGCATTGCTCATCATAGTTATGTCATAATTTTTTCGTTATAGGTATAACGTCATTCGCCTGTGACTTAGAATTTTGTTTCTGACGTCTTTTACGACGTGATTTTAGTAATATTATTGACTCGCAATAGATATTATATTGACGACATCTTGCAATTGCAAGCACCTAAAGGAAAAATTAAACAAAGCCGACGATTATTTATTACTTTTAGAAATTTTTATTCAAAGGAGATAAGTTATTTGGCTTTAATCTACAATCATTTATATATTATTAAAATATATACTATAATTTTTTACAAATAACAAAATCCTTATTGTTCAGATTTATCCACTGCCACGCGAGACCATGTCGAATCAGATTTTATTTTTTATTTAAAATTATAGTTTTATATTGATAATATATAAATGTTAATAATTTATACTTTAAATATATCTTTTGAACAAAGACTTCTATAATTATAAATAATAATCGGCTTTATTTAACTTTTTTACTATTAAGTACTTCTAATTTCTCTATTCTTTCCTACATTGAAAACCTATTAACAAAATTTGCCTTAAAAGATGTATGCATTCTACGGAGTCGCGTGTATAGTGTGGCACTAAGAGCGTACATCACTACGGAACTACCACTGAATGCGAGAAGTGATAGATTATCACTAATATACTGCAATAGTATATTCGCGTTTACCTCGTGTTCGCAATTTTTTTACTCTCGCTTAATAGTAGGTACAGTGATAATGGAAAACTCCGAGTTTTACAAGATCAATTCGAATCTGAGATCTACGCGCGAACTGTGCGAAGCAACGTACTCGAAAAGGGGACTTTCCGTGCCATTACTCAAAGATGGCATTGGAGTCCAGCGGCCTAATCTCGGCACATGAGACCTTAATAGGATTTTAAGGCGTCGAGACCACCTGCGCGCTTCCCCACGGTCGACCTCGTTTGTCTTTCCTCTCCGCCGGTTTGGGCATTCTTATTGCACCCAAGGATTGAACTGATACGCCTCTTTGACTTCGCGACAGAGAGAACGTCGCTTAACATTTCACCTGATTGTTGAAATTCAAAGATTATTTGCGCTTATTCAAATAAAACAATCTTATCTACTATTACCTTTATACACAGTACACACATGTATAAATTGATATAAAAGATTAATTAAATAGTAAACTCAGTCATATATTTGCATGTGCAATAAAAACAATGTATTAAATTACGCAATATTGATTTTATTTTGAAATATTTCATTTTTGGAAATAAATTTTTATAAAAAAGAATCTTTACTTTATCATTTTTTTTTATTACAAGCCAAGGAGGTTTCACATTTTTTACTTTAATCTCACACATCCATTCATTCTTTATGCTGATTTTTTGAAATTTAATCGTTAACATATCAATGCATTCAGTACTATAACCGCTCATTGAGCGCTCAGTGAGCTCTCGTATCTGTTTGGTCTATATTTTTAGATCTAACGGAATATGCCAATCAGATGCAAGAGCTCACTGAGCGCTTAGTGAGCGGTTGTAGTACTAAATGCACCCAATGTCATCATACTTATAATTTACAATAAAATATATTATTGAGTTATATATTATATATTTGATATAATGATTGCAATATATGTTTGTATGGTATTAAAACGTATACTGTAAGATTTATATCGTAATATAAGTAACGTAATTGATGGACAATTCCCTGAAATGCGATATTTGATCTATTATAGAGTTGGCGTGGGCCGGGCGCATTTCGAGAAACAACCACCGAGTAACCTGAGGAAGAGCAATTTTTTCCATTTCGTAATCGCCCTTTATGATCGACATGGCCAACCTATTGAGATCGAAAGGACGTCATTCATGGGCTTCGTCGAAAAGGATCAGGTAATAATTTCTGCTATTACGTTCGAAGAAACTTTCACGCAATCCGATAAACTGTCACTGATCGCGATGCAACTAAGTATCCTAAAATACAAAGACGCAAGAAAAGAGCTTGAAAAACCCGATCGCGTCGCGAGATATTTTTCTTTCAGAACTGCGCGCGACGATAGAGAATGATGGCGAACGAAAGCGACCGAGTTCGCGAGTATCCGCGGAAATAAGCGACGATAGCGGATGATTAAGTTCGGAATTTCAATGCTTCGCGCTAACCGCCACTCTCCGGGGAGACCGAATGGAAAAAAAAGGAGAGCAGGCCCTTTATGACGCCAGGGGAATATCGTGCGAGCGCGCGCTTATCTCGATAATTGCCGTTTCCATCGGGGCCGGCGTCAAATATTAAACAGCACCGCCTACGCGTGTACGCGTACGCGTATCGATGATCCGTAGAATCCATAGCAGCGACTCTTTTCCGGCAATTAGCTGGACAAGCGAAAATCCATCGGCCGCGTGAGAAATGAACGGACGCGATGCAGGATCATGGGGGTGGTCACGCGAAGCGAATGACCTACGAATAATAAAGAGCGCCCTTCGAGCGCCTCCACCCACGCTCGCCTCGTACCTTCGATCGGAGATTACGGTTCTGTCGAGCGTTTATTAACCAGACACTCGTGCGCGAAATATTGAGGCTTCTACGAGAAATTACCATAATTGTCGACGATACAGTCTGCAACTAATTATACAGCAGTAGAATGAATTCTGTTAGGCTTATACATTTTATCGCGCGACGCGTTAGCATACACGTACGTACGAAAGGGCACTACGCTCGTATGCTTTTAAAATCTATCACTTCACGGTTATGAAAATGCGACGAAGCTATTTTTTTATGGTCAATCTCATTGTTCCGGGTATCACAGCTGTCAGTGATAACGGCACGTCACAGGAACAATGCTATTACAAAGATCACGTTTGAACAATTGTTTGGAGACAATAGAACTATTTTATAGTTATCATAATAAAAAAAATTAATATAATTGCTTGTGAATTTGTGAGAGCAGAAAGGACACGAAAATAATATTTTCTTTCTATTAACCTTGAAAAAAGTAGGTATGCTTTAAATGAAGAAGGAAGCCTTGTCCCAAGAATCTAAGGGCCTAAAATAAACATTGAAAATGAGCAATGAGTAGAAAAGGCAGTGAAAATAAGCAGAAAAGGCATGAGTCTGGATTAGACAAGATTCAAGATTTGGAAAAATGGAATGCTACGTTCCGTCAGAATGAAATAGAAGCAATGAAAAAGAAGCTTTTTCGATGAGATTTTCGAATAGCTATCAACTTACTCGAAGAATAATCAGAAGAAATATTTTAAGAGATATTTTAGTCAGCGTTTTCGAAATTGTTTTATGTAAATTGTTTCATATTGTTTAACATAAAGAAATAATTATTGTTTAACATAACTTAAGATAAACAAAATATCTGTAATAACATATTATACAATTTTTTATTCTTTCTTTAATTCAGAAATGATACGAGTTTAACGTTGAATGCAGAAAGGATATGAATCCAAACCTGAAATTTAAGTTTTTTATTTAATTGTCAAAACTAAATATCTAAAACTCACTTGTAACTAAACAATATAAATGTGATACGAAGGTATATGGGTAATAGCTAGGTTACAGTTACTAAAACATAATATTTCAAATAACATCAAATAAAATAAAACATACGTTTCAACCAGAAACGTTCGGTTATTATCAATGTTGTTACAATAAATATGTTATCTGAAATATTATGTTTTAGCAACTGTAACCTAGCTGTTGCTCATATACCCTTGTGTCACATTTATATTGTTTAATTGTCAAACATTTCAGAGAGAAACCAAGTATGTCTTAAAAAAAATATTAATTATTATATTTAAATTCTCAAAAGTAATTTTGTTAGTTTTTTCACTGGAGCTAAAATTAAAATTTTCTCAAACTATAGAAATCAAAGCCTTAAACGGTCTAGCTGGATTTTAAATGCTTGTATGATTCTTGTGTGAATTTATATACTACATATGTATTATAGAATCTCAGAAACGCACGCCGAAATGATTTTTTCGATTTTGAAAACGCTAACTCTGCTAAACTACCGCAGTAATATCACGAGTTAAATTGACTAGCAATTTAACAAATATTTGATGCTTATTCGCATTTTCGAAACGATCTCAATAATGCTGAATAACATATTAAAATCTGTATAAATAATTAATTCTTATTGCGAAAAACCAAGATCTCTTGCATTCCATGCGAGCGTCCTAAGCCTCCGGGGTTCGACTCCCGGTCGAGGTAATATTTTTCGCAATAAGAATTAATTATTTACAGATTTTAATATGTTATTCAACATTATTGAGATCATTTCGAATATGCGAATAAGCATCAAATATTTGTTAAATTGCCAGTCAATTTAACTCGTGATATTACTGCGGTAGTTTAGTAGAGTGAGCGTTTTCAAAACCGAAAAATCATTTCGGCGCGCGTTTCAAAAAGAACTACATACATAGTATATAAATTCACACAAGAATCATACAAGCATTTAAGATCCAACTAGACCGTTTAAGGCTTTGATTTCTAATAGTTTGTATTATCATACACGGTCCTATAATATGTTATATTGTTTAAAATTTTCTATTAATACTGAAAAATTTGATAAATGTGACTTGTCTTCTTTCTGCAATCACCGATTCAATTATAATTTCATCAAGGAATTAGGTAAGTTAGTAAGGATGTTTAATTATCTTTTAATGCACATTAATTGTGACGATATTATACAGGAATTAAATGACAGCTGAATGAATCGACAACGAATAATACGGTAACTCATCACGATAGAAGCACCGTAGACAGCTGTGAATTTAAGTTCCGCTTGTGGAGTTATCACGTAGAACGATCTCGCGACCCCGAAAGTGTGCTCTCAAACGGGACGCGATTGTCAGCGCTCAGTCATCATTAGAGATCCACTTTCTATTGGTCAATTAGTATAGCTCTTTAAGGAGAAGTTAACTATCGTCATGCGACGCAGCGTATCTATTTTTGCGTAAGAGAAATCGTTATGTTGGGAGACCGTGTGGATAAACAGACGCGGATTTGCAAATATAACATATCTTCGGTATGTATGCGCATAAGAACATTAGTGCACACTACGCGCTTCATAGCGTTACATCATGGCTCGATTGATCAGATCTATGTACGATACGCTATGTATGTACGTAACGCGGGACATACACGGTACACCAAATAAACAGCGGAAATCCAGATGCACGGCACGAGGAGGAGGACCAAGGTCCACGAGCGTATAAATTATCGAAACGTAATCCCGACCGTAACCTCTGGAATTCTAGCGATCCCCGTTCGTGCAACGACGATGCTCTGTCGGAAGTCTCTCTGTCTCTTTCTCTTCCCTCCTTCTCTCTCCCTCTCTCTCTCTCTCTCTCTCTCTCAATCTTCCCCTTTCTCTACTTCTACGCCCCGGGGTAACGAGGTACACCCCCTAATAAATCTACCCGCCATAAATCGTCGGCTAATTCGACACACGAAGACGTACAGTTAGATCGCGTCGTGGGACGTAACGTCGTAGATTTAAGAACATAAGGTGTGGAATGATTCGCGATCTGCGATTCGGAAAGTTGCAAAGTTCGGTGAATCGATCGTTCCATCAATCTATGGCATGCCTGATAAGAGAAAATAACTAATGCCTTTTCAATATTACGTGTAACACGATAAAATAATTCAATAATCGTATTCTACATTTAAATCTGACTCCTAACTCCTAATAATTTCGTTACAAAAATTATATGAAACTTTAGATCCGAGATTGTATATTTATTTTTTGACAGCTACTAATGGCATTTTATTTTGCATTTGACGCAATGCATATTTAAATTTCACGTGATATAAATTTTGAATTCAACTTAATTCAAGATTGAAAAATTTAGTTAAATCAAATTTTATTCATAATGCGCAAGTGTTTAATTATTCACATTGCAATGAATATTAGGTCATCTCACTTCGCGTCTTTCCATGTCTGTCTCTCCTTTTCTTTTCATGAATCTATAACGTTCCGTTTGGTTTCGCTCTCATTTCTCTCTCGTCCTCCTATCCCGACCTTATAATACGCACATAATTCACATTGTCGGAACAGTTGCATCGCGTGGCCTCCCTATTAATTAGGGTCATGTACCGTGGATATGCATCAACCCCGTGTCGAGTTTGTACCTCAATCCACGCATCTCCTCCTCTGACCCACTGTAAATCTTAATTGAATTTCTTGTATTCTATTAGAAATATGTATAACATAAAAATTTTTGCACAATTCATATTGCTGATCTTTAATTCAGTTCTAAAAAATGAAAAATTTTAATAAATTACCTACGAATTATATCAAAATACGAATAGAAATATGACATATTATAGATTAAAATTCTGTTAGAAGTATCGATAATTATTCGGTGTTGAGTTGATAATATTTTAGAATTGAGTCGTAAAAGTTCCAATAATGTATTTCATCTTCTTTCGTCCGGAATAAAGAATATATAAAAATCAGTATATAAAGTTTGCGCGTAAGTGATGTTAAAATGATCGCTTATCGCAGAGATGGCGACATAGAGAAGCAGCGAATTGAGTCTTACTGAGCTTGATACTGCATAATATGACGCTACACTTGTACGCATTATTCCCGGAAATGAATGCTCTAGGTAAATACATAGCATCTCCCTGTTCCGTCCGCTTTTTGTTGGTGTTTAATTAAAAAGTAGTCAGAGCAAACGAAGAGAGAGAGGGGGGGAGAGAGAGAGAGAGAGAGAGAGAGAGAGAGAGAGAGAGAGGAGCTCGACCTATCCGCGTATATATCTGATTAACGTCCATCGTGCGCTGGACGAATTTAGAGATTAATGGTCGCGACGAACGCCGACGACAGGAGAGAGCTTAATGCGTACGCTCGGACCACGCGCGCGACGGAAAAAAGGGAAGAAAGACGTCGCCGGTCAGACGCCGATCGGCGAAGCAGGGCCGATTATCCGATGAAGCGAGCGCGGATATGGATGGAGGGAGTTATTCCGTTAGAAAAATGATCACTTCCCGTTCATTCGCGGAGAAATCTTGCGATGGATTTATGCGGTTTTCTTATCCGCGTCGACTATTCCCGTGCTTAAGCTGATAAGCCATAATCTTGATATCTTCTGAGGAACTCGTACTCATCGAAATGGAACTACCGAGACAGTCAGACTTGAGAAATAAGAGAATTTAAAAGTATGAGATTGTCACGACGAACGTAAAATGGAAAAGTGAATATATATGTTAAGTCTTTTCCAATTTATATAAATTTTATTATTTATTATACTTTATAAAAAGTATTACATATTTTATTACGTACATAAGATAACAAATTATTACATAATCGTAAAATGGGATAATTGACTGAAATTTAAAAAAATGCCTAGATAGCGTGCATTTAAAATTAGTACATGTGACGTCTTCAAGGCATTTTTAAGACACGTTTTATATTCCAATTTTGATATTCGTACTATGTGGGCATTATTAAAACATGGGTCAAAATTATTTTAATTTTAGACCAAAGTTACTTTATTTTGCGGTACTTAAAAATTATTATCCTTATATATAGCTTTTATATTATTTGTAATTAGTTAATTGAAATTTATTTTCACATCGCAGTTAATTAATCCGGTCAAATATAATCTTACATTAAGAATCTCTGTTCTACTGTAACATCTGTCGAATGTATCCGGCCATGAAATCGCAGCTATCATTATGTTAATTAATTAATCGTGGAAACCATACAAAATACCCAGAAAATTAACTTATAATTAATCTACTAAGATAATTGCAAATAATCATGTAACATCATTTGCATATGCGATAGAATAACAAAACGAGCCAATGAAGTTTTGCCACATCTTTGCGCGTAATTACGTTAATTTGACGTAAAATCGATCGGGCTGCCAACGTTTATCCTCGAGTCAAAAGGCCGTATTGTACGACTAAAAGTCGTGGTCGTGGGACGGAGAGGGCGGTCGTGGGTGTACCACCAACCATGATGTTCCGGGGGTAGGTAGTTGAAAATGCATTACCGTGGTCGCGGCATATGGCACGGTGCACGCATGACTCGTCAACGGGGCAGGATGATAATTATGCATCGCACGCCATACGTAATGGCATGGCTCTTACCGGCGCATCAAGAAATTAATAATTAGCGTGAGGTGGAGCAGACCGGGCATACACAGGCGTTGCGTCACGGTGCACTTAATTAAAATAGAATGGAACGCGAAGAACGCGCGAGATCGCATTTGAATAGTTAGACATTTTAAACGATAGAAATTGTAGGTTATTTGATAATATGATCGATTTAAAACGAAATATATCCATTGTGATCAAAAATATACAGATATTATGTCTATTCTTCCAGGAGTCTGAAGGCCAAAAGACGAACAATGGTATTCAGTACAGTCTACATCTGCTTTATTCTAATGGTAAGTAACATTTAATCTCTTTTTCAATTTGTCAATTGGTATCCCGCTAAAACTGCCGAAAGTGCCGATTTAGCTATTTTTGTTTTTCATTTAGCGGAAAGTTATTTTGGTATTTGTATCGTTAAAATTATTTGTTTTTTATTCACATTATACTTTCAACATTCTATACTATATCTAATACAAAATCAATTGTATATTATCTAATACCAAAAAAAGAAAAAAAATTGAAATAATTAATGGATCCAAAATGACACCATCGGTAATTCTGGTGTCTAAGAAATTATCGATTACTTAAATTTATGAGTAAGTTTTAATTGTCAGCTAATTCTAATTAATTTGATCATTTGTTTTTACGTGTATTTAATTATTTTATAACTAACTTTTTGCGTATTTATGCTAAATATTAAACACATCTACTTCGATGAAATTATGTGTGTGCGCGTATATGTGAGTATTACCAATTATATTCACAAGGCGATCGGATAGAGCCTCGAATCGATCTGTATTAGTAATCGGACAGTGGGACACGTAATAGCCCCATTCGCAGCGATGATGACGAGCCATCGACATTCCACATGGACACCCGGTCTCTTAAGACCGCTAAAAAGCTCAGGGACTTTCGAGACCCGGGCGCAACAGAGACATATTTTACGTCGCTGGCCCAGGCATGGCAAAAAGGGTCCATCTTAAAGAAACGCACGAATATGTGCGCACGGACGAGGCGCAAAGAGGGATGAGGAAAGGCGGGGAAAGAGAGCAGAAGAAGCAAACGTTTTGAAGGTGGTCCAACCAGCAGACCTCAAAAACGTGCTCGTATTATGAACACATTAAAAAGTCACAAGGCGCTGTACGCAGGCTTCCGGCCCAATAATTTTTCATTCCATATACGCCAAGAGTAACGTCAACAAACCGCGGTCGTCACTTTATCCCTTGTCTTGACCATCGTTCTTCCGTCCCCGCTATGAAACCACCCCTTTCCTTCTATCTCCTCTGCCTTTTCCATTCTCCTTTTTTCCGGGACTCTTACTACAGTGCTTCCCTCCGTCTCCATTGCCGGGATCCGATCAATCAATGCAAGATTTTTGCGTTGACTGGCTTGACTGAGGGACCGCGCTCCCATCTATGGGCACATAAAACGTGTCGCCAACATCGCGAACAAGAAGCAACTAACTGTTGCAAACTAAAGAATACCAAGGCGCACCTTTCGGACCGTCATCCAAGTTCTTCATCTCTCTCGCGCCTTCTTTCGCCATATTCTGGTTTTCTGCCTCAATACCTTCGTCCGCTCTACGAGAGAATACATGCTACTTGTGTCCTTGCCTCTCCTTATCGTCATGCAATTTTATCCATACTTTCTCTTGAACGCAATGCCATCCGTGTCGGCAGCTGGTGGCTTTGCGTATCAGAATTCTGATCGTACGCTCGGACATGTAACAGACTTATCTGGTGAAACAAGAACAATTGGAGGAATATTCGAATTTGATAAATCGTGAACCATATTCCAAATCTAACTGAGAAACGCACATTTTCTTTTGGAATTTGATTTCGTGAGATTTTAATCATGTTATTTTCTTTAACAAAATTAAAATATATTTAATTTATATACATTTGCAAATTAATTGACTAAATTTATATTTAAGAAATAAAAATTTGTCGAATAAGAACCATATCTAAATGACAAAAGAGACAGTCAACTTATAATTGAATTATTAAGATATAATTACATCACTGACACAAGAGAAATTTTGAAAAGAATTACTCTCTAAGAAAAAGTATTTGTAATAATTGAACACGAGAATGTAACAAGAGTTTATACATTGTCGCACACGAGTGTTACATCGCTAGTAATGTACCCTCTATAGTCGGTACATCAGCACGACTCTGATTTATGCGCCGTAGATCGGACTGTCGTGTCGTATCGCCATTTATAAAAATTTCATGCACGAAATACTTTGCCGCGCGCTCGCGCGTGCGCGACCTGTTATGCCCTGGAGACAAATTGGTGCACGTTGCTCCGTCTCTCCGAGCCCACCGTTATACTGGCAGATCCACATCAGGTGTTCCTGTACACGTCGTGGCGTCACCGATCGCTCGACCAGGCAATAAATCTGTAATTAAATAATAAATAAGGAGCGTTCTCTCCCTGCCGTTCGAGTGACGACGGGCTCTCGCCCATATCGGGTCCTACTCCTTTTTGTCATCGCTCATTCTTCCAACATCTTCGCGTGCTCCGTTTCCTCTTCATCTTCTTTCTACCTCTCCACCTTCCTCGCCAACGTCAGCTACCCTTTTCTTGCACGCTTCTCGAACCATTCGTCGCACACATACGCGATAAGGAAAATATACGATACGTAACATACAATACATGCTCGATAAGATAGAGACGGAGACGAAATACATGAGGCTGTAGAGTCGACGGAATATAAAGTGCATAATAAAAGCGCCGCTGATCAAGGATCACTGATCAGAGCGATAGAATGGGAGCGGTGTCGACTTTTTCGAGACATCATTTTTGCCTCTTTCGAACCTGGTCGCCTAGTTATGCTAATGCCCGCCGACCTAGACTTATTTGCCTCTGCTCAGCGGGACATGGCACGCGAGTCTTCTTTCTTATTCAGCATGTTCTTCATGTCTTCCCTTTATCGTCGTCGCTTTGAATTGCGAAGAGCCGCACCGCCGGCGATAAGGTTGACGCGCGGCATTCCGCACGCTCATAATTACATTCCACATCCCTTAACCGATACAAGACGATTTAAAAAGAAAGGATTGTTTTTCTCTTTTTTCTACTTTTAACATTGGCTTCATTATAGTTTTCTAGGAATTTAATAAATCTGTAATTAAATATATTAAAGCAATGAATAACTCTGCATGATATTAATTACAATAAAAAGAAATATTAGTTTTCTTTTTTAATTTTTTTATTGTAATTAGCAACATTATTTTGTGATTAGAATATGGATGACATTTTATTATAACTTAATTTGAATTTGCATGTAATTTGAATTTTCATATGTAGCTTTTTATAATCAAAAAGCATAAATGTTTTATGGACTCTTAAGAAATATTACGAGTCATCAATTCACTGACAATGAGATCTTTTTATTGCAATCCACATTATGAATATCAAAAGAACGAAGTACATTTTCACCATTTATTTTCGTATTGGATCATTACCGATTAGAACTTTTGTAATAGAGAAAACCAGATACTCCGGCAGAAGCTCATAACAGTTATTCGGTCAGTTTAGCGTCGACCCGTATTTGCAAATCCTGACATGGCCACGGATACGGTAAACCGGTCGACTGCGTACGTAACTTCCGGTAAAGCCGCGACGGTTTCTCGAGGTAATTTGTGAGCTAGTTTCGAGCAGAGTATCGTAATCCGCAATAACGTTATGCGGCGTGAGCCCAGGCCTGGGCGCCCGCCGGGTCTGGGAGTCTTATGTCGGGATTACTTGGCTTACCGGGCACGCGAAGCCGGAAGCCACGGGGGTGTCTGTCCGAAATACACCCCAGGATTACCCGATGCTCCCCCAGGAAGGAAGGAACAGTTTCGAAAACTTGCAACGCCGAGATGTGCACGGCGAACTGTGCTCACGGTTCTGATAGGGCGCAGTAATAATGCACGCTGATATGTCACGAGTAATTGCCGTAATATCTTTTCCGTGAAGCAAGTCTACACTGAAAAAACAACTTTACTCAAGTATCTAAAAATTTAACTAGATATATAGATCAGGTAATAGTTTTGTTGGATCATTAAAATAATTACATAAAACGATCACACAAGAGAATTGCTAAAATTATGTCAACCTTTGTACAATATTGCTTATTATGCTTTAGCTTCCTACATAAGAATTTTAACAGTCTAATAAAATAATTTTTAGATCTATATCAAATTAATTTTTTTTAGATACTCTAGTAAACTGTCCTTTTTGTGTATTTTTTCTGATAATTATAACCATAAAACTGAAGAAATAAAAAATTTTAGGCTTTTTTTAATTAAACCGATTAGAGACTCTTGAAAATAAAATACAATTTATAATAAATAACAGCTAATGAGAACGCAAGCAACAGTGAGCAATTATATTTCATTAAAATGAAATTAATAAATAAGCAAATTTGAACATTTTAGGATCATTCTTGGACCATCCTCAGCAAATAATTAGCGTAGCGTAAATTAGCGTTCAAAATTACGCTACATTGACATTGTTGAATCGAGTTCTAAGTCGAAATTGATAAAAAGAAGGAACCCCACTCTCAATTGTTCGTCCCGATGGAAAGAGTTATAAGGTAAATGAAAGGTTTAAAGATTTTTTAAATACGTAAATCTAAAATAGCAACTTACCTTAAGAGTCCGAAAATGCAAGACAGACGAGTGGACGTTAATTCAAACTCAATCATGATAATAAATAGGTTGTGAAAGGTAAAAAACAGTCAAGGAATTATCGGATGTAAATATTTAAAATTACAATAAGCCAGAACAAATGATGTAACCAAAGTCGACGTCAAAGTCAAATGAATCAAAAGAGTAAGTAACCTATCAATATAAACGTACTATTTCAAAAAACAATCGATTGCAAAAAAACTACAGAAACTATGGTTTGCTTAAAATTGATATGTACGCATGGTTTAAAATTTAAAAAATTTCGTATCTGTTTGGAATTTGATGCTATGATTTTATTGCTTGTGTAATTCTTCTCTCGAAGATTAAACTCTTCTAAGGGAACACTCACTATCTAAAATTTCAACATTATTCCAATCAAATTCATGCTGCATCCTACGATTTGTATAATTACTTTTTTTTTAAACTTCACCCATCCATGGCAATTAAAACAAGAACGTCTTTGGACTTCTCAAACTGGCAATCACGTTTACCTTAAAGCACATTGTGCGTGCATGGATGCGACAAATTCTTCAGGTTCGAATTTGTATGTCGAAGGAATAAGGGCATGATAATTAACGTATCTACACGTACGTGCATTTCATTTCCTATCACGGATCGTTGCATCGCAATACGCAGTGATGCCGGTATTTGATGTTCCAAAGTAAGATCAGGAATGATACAAAAAAGAAAGATGATTGTGCATACGTATCAGGACAAGAACGAGCCACTTTGTATCGCCATTGACTTCAAATACTTCTTAATATGCAACTTTTTCTTAACTATATCCTTTCGCCTGCGGTATGCTTAAATTTGGGCACATTTCCATATTCGTCGTATTCTTCTGGATGGACGTTGTAAATTCCTGCGCGAAATGCTTCTTTGCTTACAATGAATGATACTTTTTATCGAGATACGCGAACGAAGGAAGTTGTACAACGATGGTATTATTTGACTTTATCTGTTACCGATATATTCGAAATAATTAATATAAACTCTTTTAAAACATATCTACAAAGAGAAGATAAATTATTCATTTCTAATAATATTTTTTTATTCATTTCAGGTGTCAGGCAAGTGCAGGATATCTACGTCAGGCTAATAGACTCTGCGACAAAACAAGTAAGTACAAATATCTCTGTGAGAATATATATAATTCATTTATATATATTATTAAAAATTAATGTATTAATGCTTTTTTTAATTTTATGATTAAGAGTTTTAACATTTTTTTTAACACACGCAACTTGAAGGATATTATTATTAAATATCTATAATAATAATATCTAGAGAAGGACGGAACATTTTTGTTCATCTTTTTCTTCTTCTTACATAATATTTTAACCAAATTAATCTGGATGTCAAATTAAAATATTACGCATAATATATATGTCTTTCGTGTAAAAAATTAGATAATTTAGAAAAGCATGCCAATCGTCTCATTGTCGAGCAACTCTTGCGCAACCTCCTGTGCCGTTTTTACGCGTCGGGACTCGTGCGAAATCGTCGTAGCGACGCGCGCACGTGGACGGGGGTGTTATCATCTCGGCTACAAGCACTTAATTTTCCGGGGGGTTGATTCTTACCCCTCCGGGAAAGCAGGCACACCGCCGCGCGCGGCTGTCCCATCCTGTTATCTGCGCCACGTGGCGAACTCTGCGCGCGACCCGCGAACCACGTGTTGTGATCCCGCACCCAGGACCGTAGATCCCGACGCACCGATAAGGCGCAAAGAAGGATCACAACCTTCGTGCAAACGCAAATACACCGTGCGATCACGAGCGCGATAAGTCCTTTTATGTTCGGTCGAGGGTAACTTTTAGCCCGCGACACCTTCGTGAGAGGTATGTTTCACACCTACGAAATGTCACGACATGTAGAGAAATGACCATACCGTAAAAGTTAGAGAAAATAATATGTAAACAAAGTAAGTGGACGGATGTGAGCAATTTTCAACACTTAAATTAAGCCTTGGCATAATCACATATGTATGTATAAGTTATAACTTGAAATGAAAAAGACGAACAGAATTATTTTCTTGCGTACATCGCAATTTTATTGATTTCCAAAGAAATACAATGGTTTAAACAATGTTGAAACGTTGTATTCTTTAAACAAAAAGTTATTAATTCCTAAAAATCATCTATACCATATATTATATCAATACAAAATAAATATGAACTACTTGAAATTATTTTGTTTCGTGTCGTGACCCGAGCTTCCAACAAGTTCCTAGAGATATGCGCACCATTTTAGCAAATTAAATCATCTTGGGGCTGGTCGGTTACGGAGGTAAGAAGAGGGTGGTAGTAGGGTGAAGAAGCGGAGAGGAAGGAACGAAGAGGGTTGGGGAAACAGAGTTGATGTTAGTTTTAGCTGATTAAATTACTAAGCCGCAGTGGCCTTGCACCGGCAGAGACCGGTCCTCAATTCGCGATCCATTCCTTTTATTAATCGGATCCGGGATGTCATAGGGTTGAATGGTTAGAATAGAAGGAGATCGATATGTGTATTATCTTTTGAAGCAATTGGTGAAATAAGAACAAGTGAATTAAAAGAATCACATCGAGAGGCAGACACTGGAACGGACTATTTAGCTATAATTTACAAAATGTCTCGCACAATTTTTCAATTGTGTACGAGATTACGATGAGTACGCAAATATTCGAAATATGCAATCACATCTATAGGAAGCTTAACTTGTAGAAACTATGCTAAAGAAAAGAAGAGTAAATTGAGGACGCGAAAAAGGAAAAAAAAATCGAGAATGTTCGAGAACGATTGTCTGCGAGGAAAAGAAAAGCGGAAGTGATAGATAGATGCCGAGACACCCTCCTCGGAATCATGCTGGTAAAGGGAGTAGAAAGTTGAACGGGGAAAGAATCGAAAACGAAAAAGCTGCAATTTATACATCAAAGCTTCGATTGAACGCGTCTCCGCCGTCCTACCAAAGCGAGAGGAAGAGATACAGGCAGGAGAATCAATGTATTGTATATTCACCGAGTCGGTGTGCGCCGCTACGTGCAACTTGCGCGAAGTGTTTAGCAAATCCAGGTCGACGTATCCTTTCTGTCTATTGTACTCTAGAAAATTGACAAACCCGGATAAATTTATCCGTGATTAAAACGTAGAAGATAAAAGAATCGTTTATAACCTGCATTGCAGTTCACTGACTTCGAACTCATTGAATCAAAAAATTATTCGTTGATTTAAAAATTACATAAATTTCTCTTTTAATATATTTTAGGTTAATTTATACAATTTTAATAATAAAATATAATTAGAGTTATTATATCTTTTTAAAAAATTATCCAATACGTCTACATTTTTTTTCATTAAAAAAGATCGTAAATTAATTTTGTAATGATATTCATAACATTTTTCAACTTGATATTTGTAATTTTAAAATGTTTGTAATTTGCTTTTCGCAAAAGTGGATGCATGTAGTACGTATTTGTTAGAATTATTATTATTATTATCATTATTTTTACATTGGAAAGCTTGAGAGTATTCGCGCAAATGCGTTTTACTTTCCTGGTGAGTTCTCAAGCCGAGTTATGGTTTGCAAATTACGATTCGGAAACGCGCCAACTTTTCTCGAGACCGAATCAGGTGCTCGGTTATAAATCCGCAATAATTGGCTACACCGAGTCGGCTGCTGAGTTCATGGTGAAACCCCCAACCCTTAAGCTTTTCTTCAATTTCTTCGCTCCTTCGCCAAGGTAAGTATCTATATCAACGTTCGCTTCCTGGAATTCCAGCGAGCAAAGTATCTGTGCAACGAAATGCGAACGAGAGAGAAGGAGAGAGAGAGAGAGAGAGAGAGAGAGAGAGAGAGAGGAATGGAAAAAGGAAGTGGGGAAGAAAAAAAAGGCGCAGGATGTTGAGAACCGTCCGTTTCTCGGTGAAATTTCCAGAAAAATACGAGCTGCTTCCCGAGAAAGAAACGAGTTTCGTGCAGCGTGGCTGAATGGCGCTAACAACGTACGCTTTTAAGCGCTCGGGAACGAACTTCCGCTCGGCGAGAGGGGGACGAACGAGAGCCAGAATGCGTTTTTTCGCGGGATTAAAAATGCTAAATGGTAATTAGTTCCGGGGATAAAAAAAGCATTTACAGGACGTGTGTGTAGAGGAAGCAGAGAACCGCGCGGCGCCATTATTCTAAATGAATGAACAACAGGAAATTGTATATCTAACCTTTTTAAACTCCATCCGACGCTGGAGATGGTCAGCCGTCAGGCTGTTTTTCTCACCGTAATGTCGGCTCGTCAGTATTCGCGAGGAAAATCAAAAAGCGCGCGTTCGATCACATTACGCAATAATTATTTCTTCCAAGGTCCTTTGCGTCTTTTCAGATGTATTCTTTAATTTAGCGTTCGTGATTCTACACTAAAAGAAGATATTAGCTGAATATGGCATAACATTTTTAATAGGCTGCAGCAGCCAATTTTTAGTTGCGTATCAAAATTGTATATCGACATTGCAGATAGGCCATAGAGCGCAACAAAAAATTGGTTGCTGTAACTAAAATGTGGCAGCTACAGCTAATTAAAACTGCTATATTATATTTTACCATCTAAATTGATGTAGCCAATCTTTTCTTTCAGTGCACGATTTAAATTATCGGATCGAGTCGACATCAGTATAGAACATAAAGAGTGCCTGTAGCTAATACTGAAATATGAGTCTTTAACCATAGATTAAGGAAATAATAAGTTCGAGATAAGTTAATCCTGGATAGATAAGGAGAGAAAGAGAGGTCGACGTTCCCCTCAGGCGGTGGACATTCTTCTAGGGGCGAGGGTAACATTGTATGTATGTTGTTCAGCGTATGTACGAGAGGCTACGGGGGTTGCTTGGCCAATATAGAAGGGGGATTCCCAGGGGACTTTTGGAATCGATTCAGAATGGAAATCATTACGGCAGATTTGAATGACTATCTTCGAATTTATCTGCTCCCTTCAGTACTTGCTTTCCTTCTCGTATTACTGCCATCTTCGAGGACACCAAAAGAACGACGTTACGGTTTTATTATCATGCACGCCAGTTCTTTTTCCACTGAGCGATACCAGTCTGTCGTCTGCTGATATCAAATGACATGATATCCTATGGTAAACATAAGATATACATATCTCGATAATGATATCGATATATCGGAATGATCGTTTCCGCCGGCCTTGATTGTTGCCTGATTGTTAGATTATTGAAACTGATAAAATCACATGATAATATAGTCACGTTATTTTCAAAGCTGCAGATATTACAGATATCATAGTTGGAAGATTAGTTTGTACAGTCATTATATACTTGCAAAAGCAATATGAAGAATTGCCTTTTTGCGGTATATATGTTTTAACTTCAAAAAATTTTATTTTACTGCATTGAACTTTACGATATTGTGCTACATGAATTGATTATGATCGAAGATTCCAAAGGACTTTTCACTATAAGTCCTTAGTAAGTAATTCCCGTGGGAATTAAGCTACGGCGGGGGCCCAAGCATTTTCCTGATGGGACCAGGAGGCAACGGAAGAAAGGCCCCCGAGGGGATCGTACTGACTGGTCGCACCCTCAGGACCCTCTGTTTGATGTCGTTGCCTCCGACCACCCTTCGCCTACTTCAGCCATTCACCCTCGAGACGTTCTACGACATAACACCGCCATATCCAATGAACCGCCGAGCGAAGAAAGACAGTGGAACCTCTTTTGGGACCAACACATATATAAATTTAAATCCTAAACACATATGTGAATCTAAACTCGGGATATCGCAATAACTTAGGACTTTAAGACAAAGTTCTTAATGAGAACGGTGCATTTTGATGCTTTTTTTATTAATTGCACAATTGTTTTATATTTATCATAGTATAAACTGATGTACAAACTGATAGTATAAATTGATAGTATAAACTGATAAAATGATTTCTTTCACATATTTAGTCAAATATTTCTTGTATACGCAAAAAGATAATGTTCTCGATAGTGACAAAAATAAACAGATAGCTTTCGAGATAGTTCATGTGATGAAAGTAATTGCTTACAAATTGTCTGTATGTATTGCCGCCATACACTGAATAAACAAAACGCGTAAGCACTCCGTCGTTAAGCAAATAATATTGCATGTCACGTGTAACGCGCTACATGACCTACCTGACCATCGTTGTGTTTAACCGACGGTTATTGTGTACGTACAATAATACTGAAGATAATAGCATCCAATTGTTTTGATTTTATCAGGAATCCTATTGTTTCGACGTAAAGGCTGATTTTAATCATTTTCGAAGCAACAAAAGCATTATTAAGATCTCTTTCATATTTGTATTGATATGTGTAATAATTAAAAAAAAAATTAATAATTTTCTACGTATACAATTTTTATACAATGTAAAAGGAAGAAAAAGTTTGTAACCGATCGAATATGATATAATTTATAAACAAATGACAAAATGCCGGTAAGAATTAATTTTTTTGTATTCTCAGATTTTCCATCAGAAAAAAATTATGTCTTGATTTTATTTTTATGCACATTTATACATAATTCATCACATTTAAATAGCTGATGTAACAATAGAAAAGTCAATTTCTTGCATCTTTCAATTTCATATATTTTAATACGAGGGAAATTACATTCATACGTGGGAGAAGGAAAACATTTTGCTGTTGCTTGATAGAAGTGTATCATTATTAATTTCAGTAGGCAATCTCTATAACAATTATATCACACTCTGTATAGTTCTGTCAACTATAATGAAAAATCCTGATTCAACAAGCGATACTTCCACAAAACTTAATTGGCTAGGTGTAAGTAAACGCTATCTTTATCTCGCAACAGAGCTTAATATGTACAAAGTACATGCTTATGTTAATTGTTCCTGGTATAAATAAGTTTGCATGTCTTCTTACTATTAAGACTCGTAATAGTTGAATGGCACGTAACGTTCTATGACTCCTTCCTTTGCTCTTACCAAGAACATGTACTTTCCCCTGCCATCGTCTGCGATACCCCCCTTTCGCCATGTTGATTCTTACCCCCCTATTTTCCATCTCCGTTTCGACGCCGAATCCCTCTCTGATTTACCTACTGTGATGTATATATACAGCGGTTCGTTTACGTTGCAATTCGGTTATTTCCGCATAAATATTTGACGCCATTCTGGAAGTCGCACCTACACACTGGAACTAAGTGTGTCTGATACCATTACCGTCGTACACCGACATTTAACCGGCCAAGCACGGCGGCGATGCCGTCAACTCGACGAATTCCCTTGGACACTGTATTTCACAATATTTACATTTTATCGCTCCTCGTTGTGAACTCCAACGATTCAGGCTGTTATGCAAACCACAAAATTGCGTAAAAATCGCGTGTACAATCAATGCAATTGTATACGGTTGTCCTTCGAAATTTTGCTTCATCAAAGACTTCGATCATCCTGCACAAAAAGACATTCGAAATAACTCATTTAGCTTAAAATACTAATTCAATTGTTATCGAAATTATGCCATGAAAAATTTAAGTTGCACGTAACGTATCTAAATTCTGCTATATAAATTAATTTTCTATCCATATAAATATATAGAGTGTTTATGAACTAGTGGTACAACATAGGAATAATTCTATATAAAAAAATAATTCGAAACGTAGAAAAATTCTGTCTTTATTTTCAAGAAAATCGATAAATAAAATATTCGCAAAATACAGATTTAATTGCTAAATTAAACACCACGATACATTAAAAAGCGTTCAAAGAAATTTACTTTGAAGAGTAGGATCGTATAGTCTACAGCGATCCATTAAATCAAGACATAGTTAAGCACATGTAACTGGTGAATATTTAAGATTGTCCCTTAAAAACAAAGCCTCATATAAAGAAATGTTATTCTATGTTTTCAACTTATTTCTTCATGTAAAAATACTTCTTTTCCAGTTATACTAGTTCATGAACGCTCTGTATATAAAATTTAATTTTGTATGTAAATGCTTTTGATAAGAACGACATTTGGTTGAGAGATGAGTTATTTTCCTGTTTTATAAAGCTATATACGAGAGATCAAAGCGAACCTATCTGTTCGCGCTTTGTTATTCTATGATTAATCCGCGCGAAGGTCCCCATCGGTAAGTGCACGAATACAGGATAACGACGTGTTGTCATTAAATAAAAATCAATCGCGTGGTCGTGAAGGAGGCTTAACGGATTTGCCTGCGCCGCCCATGGCTTAGTACTCCTGCGGGGAAAGTAGCCCCTTCTCAACTCACATCCACATACGAGCTTGCTTAATACGTTACATATTTCCCATCGATGGTTGAATTATCTGTCGAACTGGATTACTCTCACGTCGTCCACGTCCGCGCTAATTAACACTTTTTTTTTTTCAAAATAAAATGTAAAATAAGTCTTTCCATATACATGTAGAAAGTAAGAAGCAGATTCGACGCGATATTGTAAGAAATTTAAGCAAATAATTGTGTAAACGGCAATAATTGTTTGTACGACTAATTTATAGTTAGCAATAAATTAGATAAAAATATAAACAAATAAAAATCTTATGACAAGCTGTTTATGGATTATTTTAACAATTTTTTTTTTTAATGTTGAATAATATTTTATGAATGACTTAATATTATTAATGTATATTTTTCTGTTATAGGCAATCATGTACGAGGGACAAGACAAAAATCCGGAAATGTGTCGTGTTCTATTAACGCATGAAGTCATGTGCAGGTATGTGTTTTTCATATTATACAGGTCATTGATGCCTTCCTATTTGAAGTTCTACATATGATATATATAGAAGTGGAAAGACATTAATGGCCTTATATTTTTGTTATCTGTATAATTACTTCTGACAAAAAGGTTAATTTAAGAGTAAATTTTTACTGATATTTATTATATCTAACGTAAAGCTATTTTATATACATCGACTTACGTTATTTGCACTTAGAAAAGTGTCCCTCCTCCGCGTACGCCACCCTTGTGGCATAAACGTAACGAGGCATACGGGGATGTAGTCGTTCTTCGGGGGTAGCTGACTCATTGTGACCCATGGGACTTCGGGAGCGTACTACCACTAGTTTCCCGAATCCCATGGGTCTCGATATTTTTTAAACCGATTTCAAACTTCTGACACTACGCGAAAGCATCTATTCGTGTCTTTTTTCATAAGAATAAATTTCGCCGCAGGAATACATATAAGATGAAATGTATTGTCGATTTACAGCCGATGCTGCGATAAGAAGAGCTGCGGTAACAGGAATGAAACGCCCAGCGATCCTGTCATTATCGATCGGTGAGTGGAACCTATCATTATCTAACTTTCGTGGAACGAACGTGTTGGTATCGCGACGGTCATGATCTGCTTAAACGCGCGAATTTATCTCGCATGCGTTACGTAAAAGTTACGAGCGCGTTATATGATATTGAGGCGCACATGACGGAATCTCGACTTGACGGCGAACGTAATGACAAGAGGCGTCGATTTCGTAGAAACCGCCTCTCGTATCAGCTGGTCATCCGTGCTATCGTCGTTTTCAACGATCTATGAAATAAAGGTCCAGATAAGTCCTTCTCGAAGGACCAACGTATGAGATAAAGCTCCGTCTATCGTCGCGACCTAGAACTCCTAGAACATTTAGGCTTGCAAAATACGTTTCCTACGAGGTGCGGCGGGATAGCCGGGTAGAAGAGTACTCGAATACTCAGGCGTACTTATACGCCTTCCACCTTGTGCATGGTGCTGCTCGTCCATGGTAACATAGACTTCCCTTATACACCTACTCGCTCGCTCCCTCTTCTTCCCGCGTACACGCTCGGTCTCTATCCCTTGGCGTGGCTAACACGGGGGTGTAGCAGGGTGAGCCTGGTATCTGAATAGGCTATAGAGTATCCTGAGATAGGAACGGCAGGAAGGAAGAGGTTTCCCGCGGGACCCAGGCCGAGATAGTCTTCAGGAGGACATCTTGTGCTCAGAGGTGCTCAACCCTCGGGCTTCGATACGCTGGCGGCTTCGAGCTTTCATCCGTATTCGAAGGGATATGTGTTACGCGACGGTGACAGGCAAAGCCCGGTAGGCTCGCGTGTAACTATTTTTCTGCGCCTTCGAATCTCTCGACGTCTGCACCTGTTGGGTTTAACCCCGACATCATGTGACAGTCGTGTTTTATTTGCCGATGTTTGAAACTGGTTTGATGGCAAAATGGGTTAAATTGGATAGTGACTCTAAACATGGATTGTAAAAAGATATTTTAAATTTTTAATCTTGGCAATTTTTAAAATATTTTACAAATAGAATCAATTTTGTAAATCTCGAGATAAAATAAATTAGCGATATTAATAATGTTCTCGTGATATCAATGTTGGATGATATTGACGCAGGCCACTATACAATGCATATTGTCAGAGTTGAAAGAATAATAACTACCTTTCCGTAAAGATTATGCAATCTCGTAGGTTGGGCTGATCGGTGAGACGATAGAAGAATTAATCTCGAAAATGCTCGTTCGGCACACGGCACGCACGCACTCGAATAATGTCGTAACAACGGCGTTGTAACGTGAATGCAACCACAATGCGGTCGCGTGTCGTGATGAACGCCACCCTCGAGTTCGTTCCGTAGACACGGTGGATCGTAACGAGAGTAAAATAAATGGGCAACTTCCGCAAAATTACAGGATTAAATCTTCACTATGACTGTCTTTAACATTTACTAATCAGAATAATCTTGCTGTATGCAACGTCAACGTTGACCACAATTATTCATGACAATTATTCACACATTAATCATGCACTAATGTATAATCATGCAAGTGCATTAATTTAATCGCTAAATTTAGCTACATTAGATATTGCATAACTCGAAACACGGTTCGGAATGTCATGTTTTTTTCGTTTGTTACTAATTTGCTTATTACCATTAAAGTACGTGTAATTTTTTTTCTATGACTGGTTTTTATTTTTATATTCTTGCAAATGAATGTAAACGCATAAATACAAGATATTAAAAAAATTTGTATGATAAAGCTTTGTGTGACAAAGTTTTGTGTTTATCAAATCATTACTTAGGCAAACTAACGTTATCTGTTGTCATTTTGACATAAAAAAATGACGGCAAAAAACGTTGGTTTTCTACCTGGGTAGCAACGTATATTTAAAAAAAATTCTGGAACGTTAGTTACATCTTATTAAATATCAAAAAAGACCTCTACACTGAAAACTACTTTATTGGTTGCCTGCAGGATAAATCCGTGGAAAGATGCACAACCATCGTTAATGCGTTCTCGAAACGCCTTAAAACTTGTATCAAAGCTAAATGGGTGTTTTGAGTGCTAATTATTACTTTTAATATTTAATAAGATATAACTATAACAGTTCAGAGTTTATTTTGTGTAAATATATATTACTAACAATTTACTAAACACAAAACTTTAAACTTTTTATCATCCTGTATATATTCATAAAATATTTCCTTGCACTTTTCGATATATAGGTCTGTGTCCATATATATATTGCTTATGGGACCATATATATCGGAAGGCTAATAGATTTTCAGTCTCGCACAAAACCACAATGGAGAACGCGAAGGCCTGATCGAGAGAGAGTGAGCGAAGGGTATCAATGCCACTTTGATTGAGACGGTCCTGGTTGATTGTGACATGCTCACTCAGCTGTACAGAAAGTACAACGCGCCCCCCATCAATTTGGTATACCTGACTGAAGGGAAAAACAATGTGTTCGTATTCCTAATCGTGATCATCCCTTTGCGCCACTTTCGATGCAATATCCGATCGTAACTTTCGCGGCTAAAATCAACATCAGTACTCGTGTGACGTAAATTATATACGCTTACAAATTTGACGTGTATTATGTGATATTTAATTAATGTTAAAGATTTGTAGAAATGATTTTTTTTCAAACCTTTTATATTTATTGCAATAACTCTTTTTATTTTATATGAAAAAATCATATACGTTTCCTTACCCCTACGTTAGTATCGATTCTTTATTACTTGATATTTAATTTGGGAAATTACAAAATATATTGATGCTATATTCTGTCAACCGACAAATATAGATGCAGATTCATAAAAGTTGCAGAGGTTTTAACTCCCTTCTATATGCGAATAGCAGTTTGATGTAATCGGTCCATCGATCGATCGAAACGTGATGGCATCGATCGACGATAGGCGGATTGCGAGAACAGTCCTAGAGAAGCTGGTATTACGCTGGACTCGGAAACCAATTAACATGCATAATTAAAATGGCATTGTCGTGGCCGGGCAACGCCACGGGCTTCCCCGCCGACTGACGGATCCCCGGGGGTTAACGGCGTTTCATAATTACGAAAATCCACCCACCTCCATCGCCTCCTCCGCCCATGCGTTCCGGTGTCACTCTCTTTCTCCAATTGCCGGTATCCGCAGAAGCTCTCCCCCTGAAAACACGGAAAGGAGGATGGGAACGCGAGAAAAAAATCGGGCATCGGGTCGGTGTGCGATGAACAACGCACCCCGGCACTGCCACAGCCAATAACGTTCGAACAGGCAGGGCGCCAGCGCGATTGGCTAACTTTATTTCGCTCAGTGGGCAAGCCCTTAATTTCGGGGCATCGATCATAGCCCTCGTGTGCGCCCTCCGCGCGGTGCAGCGACGCTCTACCTCCTCCTACGTCGCTTCCTCTCATCCTCCTCCACGCGTTCATACCAGTCGCGATGACCCTCAATACCGTAACGCGCCCCTCTCTCTCTCTCTCTCTCTCTCTCTCTCTCTCTCTCTC